AATATGGTTGAAATTTGAGGATGTCACAATGAGCATCGCATTTATTGCTCCTAATGGGCCTTTCCTTTTCACTTCTAGTTCTCTTCCTATACGCATGCTCAGCCGTTGCCTTCTAGGCATTATCCGTTGAATGAGCATTCCATTAATTCCTGCAAGTGAACCTTTCCTTTTCGCTGCTAGTAGTCTTTGTCTATGCGTGCTTAGTCGTTGCCTTCTATGTGTTATTATTGGGAGTTTGCGTGCCAAGAAGGAGCAAGTCTTGTATGCATCCGGGTTTATTTCACCTTGGCCATTAGATCATGTTGATGTCCATATTATTTAATTGCCGAGAAGAAGTGAGGTTACATGCCCGGTTACAGGCAACAATCTTTAGTACCGAGCCTTGGTGACTACTTTATGCAATTTCAACTGGTGGCGATTTTACCTCTATATTCAAACTCAAAAGTTATTGGTAGCTTGAGATAGACATGGCCACGGGCCGATTTTGGCCTGGAACTGGCCCGTTGACCGGGCCCACGGTTCGGAACCGGCCCGTGGCTTACGGGCCCGGTTCCGATTCTAATAATTTTGGAACTGGCCCGGAACCGGCGGTTCCGGGCTCGGTTCCAAAAAAAAAAAAAAAAACTGCTGCTGCAGCCCCACGTTCCCACCCCCACCCACGCCCACCTCTGGCCCGGAACCGGCGGTTCCGGGCTCGGTTCCAAAAAAAAAAAAACTGCTGCTGCAGCCCCACGTTCCCACCCCCACCCACGCCCACCTTCTCCAGTCCTCCTCCTCCAAATCCCTCCTTCCCCCTTCTCCCCTGCCCCTCCTCCGGTCTTCCCCTTTCTCCTTCGCCCGCCCCCCATCTTCCCAGATCTGACCCCCGCCGCCGTCGCCCCCGCCCATGGCCGCAGCCGCCGACGCCGACGCCCCCTCCTCCTCCCCCCTCGCTACCCTGCGCCTCTTCCCCTTTTCTCCTCCGCGAGCCCCCCATCTTTCCAGATCTGACCCCCGCCGCCGCCGCCGCCGCCGCCGCCGCCGCCCATGGCCACAGCTGCCGACGCCGACGCCCCCTCCTCCTCCCCTCCTCCCGACCCCGCCCAGCCCCCGAAGAAGGAGGACCCCCCGCTCCTCCTCCCCATCCCCGTCCCCATCCCCCTCTCGGCCCCCTCCTTCTCCCCCTTGCTGCCGCCCCTGTCTTCCGCTTCATCTCCTCACCGCCTTGAACCCTGCCTCCGCCACCGTGGCCAAGGCCGCGAAGCCCGAGCGACGACCGACGGAGGACCAGACCTGCAATTTTTATTTTATAATTTATTTTATTAATTTTTAAATTACGAACCGGAACCGGCCGAAATCGGAACCGGCCCGGAACCGCCGGTTCATACATGACCACGAACCGGAACCGGCGATTCCTGAACCGTGGCCATGTCTAGCTCGAGAATTCTCTCTTTAATAAATAACTAAATCAATAAGAGCAGTAATAATGACATGCTTAGAATAGCTTTCACCATCTTGTGGGCCTTGGCCCTTGATTTGCAGTAGACCCAAAAAAAAGGAGAAGGCTCGTATGGCGTGCATAAGAAAAAATATTGATTTAATTAGGTCTATCTATTGGCCCAAGTTCAAAAAACGAAATACGAGGGAAGATATTAAATAGAGTCCACGTGGCATTTGTCTTTATAAGTGGGCCCTTTTTTAGTGTAGACTTGTAGAATTGGAAGTCGACGAGAGATGCTTAACCGGAATTGTGAGACTCCAAATCCATACTCAAAACTTACGGAATGATTGGTCATCATTCACAATGTAAAGGACGAAACATTCAACTAAAATAAATGATTTTACAAAAATATATAGACGAGATAAAACCTTTTATTGAATGGAAATCATAACAAAAATCCAGTGCATAATGAATTAATCAAAAAATTGAATAGTCATAAATCCCAAATTCATTGAATGAAAATCACACAAGCAGCAAGTATTGCTTTTAAATCTCATAATGCAATACCTCGTATTCTATATCATCTCATTACCAAAATAGGTTTAGATGCCAAATCCATTGCTCGCATTGGAATAATGCTTCACTGGACGACGAGGCCCAGAAAATAAATCGACAAAAGCTAAGACCCAGAGATCAATGGATTTGAAGGGATAAGAGTACGTAAAGGGGGAACCAAGGGTTGAAAAGCAGGGAAAGCAGGAAGCAAGGCAGGAAGATGAATTCCTCAGTCGTTGTATTCTTGTGGTCCTAACTCCTCACCCTCGACGTATGGTCCCGAGTGGCCTTAACAGCCAGCTCATTATTCGTAGTGGAGGAATCATGTAGGGTTAGGAACTGATATAATTGATGCAATTGGAAAATTAAACGGGTGAATTGACCTGGACTTAGCAAAGTTCTTTGTCGTTGTCTTCTAGGCATTGTCATGTGAATGAGCATTCCAATCATCGCTTCGAGTGGGCCTTTCCTTTCCCACTTCTAGTAGTCTTCCTCTGCCCGTGCTTAGCCATTGCCTTCCGGGCACTATCCGGTGAATGAGCATTGCATTTATTGCTCCTAATGGGCCTTTCCTTTTCACTTCTAGTTCTCTTCCTCTATGCATGCTTAGCCGTTGCCTTCTAGGCATTATCCTTGGAATGAGCATTCCATTAATTCCTGCAAGTGAACCTTTCCTTTTGGCTGCTAGTAGTCTTTGTCTATGCACGCTTAGTCGTTGCCTTCTATGTGTTATCATTGGGAGTCTGCGCGTCAAGAAGAGCAAGTCTTGTATGCATCCGGGTTTATTCCACATAGAAGACAAGTCTATGTGTTATCGTTGGGAGTTTGCGAAAAATCATCGAATTATGTCACAAGTTTGAGCCTTTTACGGAATCCGAATTGGTTGGATAAATATCTAAGTTTGAGAAAAAAAAATGAAGTTTGCCCAAGTGGCCACCCTTCTTATTTGTAAATGAGGATATGGGAAGTTCGAATCTCCACCTTCTCAAGGCGACTAGAGGTGAAAACGTGTAGTTTTAAATGTGAGTTTCGACTCTCATATGCAAAGCAAAAGTCTGAAAGTGAATTGAGAATTACAGTAGGACAGAAAAAAAAAAAAAAAGAAAGCCGCTGCCACTGCAAAACCATAAAAAGGGCTCACATTTTCTATAATTTATATATATTTATTTGTGGGGTAAAAATGTCATTGTCAAACAAAGAAACAAAAGCGAGGGTTTTATTTATTTATTCCCCGAGCCTGCAGTAGCCGCATAAAGGAGAGAAAAAGGAGAAGGAGTGGGTTTTCTCTCTCAGCTCTTCACATGACCGCACAATGAAGGTTTGTGTGGCTTTCTTGAGACTCGTAGCTGCACAAGGGTTTCCTTCAGTGAAGAGCCGCACCTATGATGAAGGGATTTTGAGCGATCGCACGATGAACTCTTCAAAGCCGTGAGTTGAGTTCATTTTTTTTTTCTTTTGATTGGTTGTGGGCAAAGCTTAAATACCTGGTAATTTGTGCTGGGTTATACATTCAAATGAGTTATTTATTTGTAAACACTTTAGATGTGTACTTAATCTAGGTGTGAGAAACATTCGAGCGTGTGAGCATTTGTAACTCTCATTTTCTGATTATAGTGAATTATTTGCTGCTGGTGCTCTCCGTGTATGTAGATACCGACATTCATACCGACTCACATAAACCTTTGATGTGCTTTATTGTTCCTCATTTATTTCTTCGATGATTTCGCATTGACTTAAACTGCAAGATCCTTATTGGCTGCTGCATTAATATTTCAACATATGCAATGCAACTTTTTGAAAAGACATAAAATTGATCAAAGTTACTTATCTCGTTAGCGCTAAATTAATCACATGGGCCAAGGTTAATACCACGAAAAACCCCAAACTGGTACATCTGTGATAATTTTACCCCGAACTATTTTTTTGATTAAAAAAAACCTCAAACTAGTACACTTATGACAATTTTATCCTGAACTAATTTTTTTACCATCAAAAATCTTACACTGGTACACCTGTGATAATTTTACCCCGGACTAATTTTTTGACCACAAAAAACTCCAAAACTGGTACACTTATGACAAATTTACCATTTGTTAGTTTCTGTTAAATTTTACTGTCAAATTGCTAACTTTGATGACACGTGATAGTTGATGGGTGCACCCCTCTATTTGTCACAAATTTACCAATTTGTGATGTTTTGTGATATTAATCCAATTTAACGGACACTAACGGAGGGTAAATTTATCATAAATGTACAAGTTTGGGTTTTTGGTAGTCAAAAAATTAGTTCGGGATAAAATTGTCACAATTGTACCAGTGTAAGGTTTTTTGTGGTCAAAAAAATAGTTCGGGGTAAATTTGTAACAGGTGTACCAATTTGGGGTTTTTGATGGTCAAAAAATTAGTTCGGGATAAAATTGTCACAGGTGTACCAATTTGGGGTTTTTCATGATATTAACCCTATAGGCCAACCACGTATTTCCTTGGCCTGTAGACAAAAATTACAACCCTTAAAACAGAAATTGCACTCATTGAAAATAGCCACTAAACTCACCCCTAGGAAGCATGGACACTCTCCGGGGGCTTCCGTGTCGAAGTCGGATATGTGTCGGACATGTCGGACACCGACACTCATCCGACACTCTTTTTTTTATTATTTATTTATTTGTGGATTTGAATCAAATTAATCATAAAAATGATAATTTATCATGTATATATAAAAAAACATGTCCCAACGTATCGAAATTCTCTATTTTTTTAAAAAGGATGTGTTGGCGTGTTGTGTCGTGTCGCGTGTCGGTGTCGGTTTTGCTTAGACTCACCCAAAAAGCCCGTTTGATGCAAAACTGGCGAAATGCCCTTTGACTAACATTCTTGATTTTGTACAGATCACAATATCTCCACTTACAAATTTTTTATTTCCGGATAGGCAATTTTGCTTCAATAATAGAGATGAATGCAGAACACGTGAAGTCTGGCCTACTGGCCCTTCCATGTAATTATGTTTTCCCTTCTGTCCAAAACGGCGTGGGACCGATAATCCCCGTGAAATCACGATACTAATACAAGCATGGCCATGAAAGAGTCGCTGCATTTGGCCATTTTCAAGAAAACCCTGAAGAAGCTAAACCAGGTCCATCTTTCTCCCCCGATCATTTTTCTAATCTTAGATCGCTCCCCGTGAAAGTTGCCATGGATAGTGAACTTCACAGGCTTCACATCTTCTTCCTGCCATTCATGGCTCATGGCCACATGATACCGACTATAGAGATGGCCAAACTTTTCGCAACCCGAGGCATCAAAGCCACCATAGTCACCACTCCTCTCAACCTCACCATTTACTCAAAGCACATGGAGAGAATCAAGCAGTCTGGTTTAGATATCAACATCCAAATTGTCAAGTTCCCTTCCATGGAGGCCGGGTTGCCTGAGGGCTGCGAGAACATAGATGCCATCATTTCCAGTTCCGGCTCGAATAGTAGAGAACTGGTGGGTAAGTTCTCTAAGGCCTTGAGCATGCTCCGAGAACCGCTTCTGCGGCTCTTGCAAGAACACAGACCCGATTGCCTCATAGCAGATATGTTCTTTCCATGGGCTACAGACGTTGCTACGGAGTGTGAGATTCCTAGAATAGTTGTTGAAGTTATAAGTTTATTATCAATGTGCGCGTCTGAAGCCATTAGTCGATATGAACCCCACAAGAAAGTTTCGTCTGACTCAGAAGCTTTTATTGTGCCTGACCTTCCTGGGGAGATAAAGCTGACAAGGCATCAATTAGCTGATAATCTTAAACAAGAAGGTGATTTTACCAAGTTGTTGAGAGAAGTACGTGCATCGCAGCTAAAGTGCTTCGGAAATGTTGTTAATAGCTGTTATCAACTCGAAAAAGATTATGCAGATTATTTCAGGAATGTCATGGGCATGAAGGCCTGGCTTGTCGGTCCACTGTCATTGTACAATAAGGACGTAAAAGATAAAACACATAGAGGAAAGGAAGCATCTATTGACGAGGATGAGTGCTTCAAATGGCTGGACTCCAAAGAACCTAATTCTGTCATTTATGTGTGTTTCGGTAGCGAGGCCCACTTTGATTCTCAGCAGCTTATGGAAATTGCATTAGGACTTGAAGCTTCTGAACAAAACTTCATATGGGTTGCCAGGAAAGGGAAGAAGGAAGAGCAAAATGGAGACAATGATTGGCTACCGCAAGGTTTTGAGGAGAGAATGGAAGGGAAGGGCCTGATCATAAGAGGATGGGCACCCCAAGTGCCAATACTTGATCACGTATCGGTTGGAGGATTCGTGACTCACTGCGGGTGGAACTCAATTCTGGAAGGAATATGTGCTGGGGTTCCTATGGTTACGCGACCCGTGACTCATGAACAATTCTTAACCGAAAAGTTGGTAACTCAAGTGCTTCAGGTTGGGATTGGTGCTGGGGTTAAACGGTGGGTTGATATCGGAGTTGCTGGAGATATCGTAAGTAGAGATGACATCTGCAAGGCGGTGAGGCAGATTATGGTGGGTGAAGAGGCCGAGGAAATGAGAAGAAGGACAAAAGTGCTCCAGGAAATGGCAAGAGCGGCTGTTGAAGAAGGTGGATCATCTTATACAGACTTGACTTCTTTAATTGAAGAACTGAGATTACATAGAGCTGCTGCTCGGGAACAGTAGTGCACAGCTATGTTCTGCAGTAACATCCGTTCCTTACATGTTTTATTATTGCCTATTATGCAATTTTTCAGATCTAGCTACTCATATGTGCTTGATTAGGAATGGCCGATGAAGATCTTATATTTTCGCGTTGACTTTATATTTATATTGATAACGACAAGTATCTCTTCTTCCGGGGATCATTTCTATGGCGAATTGAATACATGTGAACATGCTTCCTTCACAATCGGGGCTAGACAAAGTATATTTCAAGAGAAGCAGAGATGGAAAGGACGAGACAACTAAATTTTCATCTAAAAGATCATTCATGCATTCCAAGAAAATTAGGGATTGGATTAATTGATATTGGCAAAATTTGACCTTTAGCCAAAAACAACAAATTTTCCATAACCTTGCATTCGCTTTTCCCACCGCATTTCTTCTGCATTTAGAAATTAGAGACATGGTAGTTTGTTAATAACTAAATTTTCCTTCACATAGATCATTCATCCATTCTATAAAGATTATGGTTCAATTTCGCCGATAACAACAAGCTTTGACCCCTACCCAAAACATCCATCCTGCATAATTCTGCATCCGCATTTCTTACTGCAATCCTTTGCATTTAGCATCAAGAGTCATTTGCCGATGATGGCGGGTCGAGGAACTCGACTCTTAATGAAAACGTCAACGTTACATCATCTCACTCATATATCTCACTGCATTACATTGAGTTCAATCAGGGATTGGAAATATGGAGCAAACCTTAAATGATGTCGTTTTTGCATACATGGACTTCTTCGTTTAAGCTCTATGCCACGTAGGCTAGAGAAATGAAGAAAAAAAAAGTTCCTTTTTTAATTAGCCAAATTACACCAAGCTAACCGAGGATTTAATTGCACAAATTTGACTATTTTTAGTATTCTATTGCACTTTTTGTAGATTTTAAGACTTAATTGCATTTTTGTGACAAGTTTTAGGACTTCTGCCACATTTTTCTTAAGTTTAACTACTATTTTTAAGAGTACAATTTTGATAAAGGGTTGTAAATTATGTTTAGAGGCTAAGGAAATATGTGGTTGGCCTATGCGGTTTACCACTCTTTTTATTTTTTCGAAACTCGCATCCATGGTTACAAAAAGGAAAATCTTATGGCCTGTATTTCGAGAATGAATGAAATTTAGGGATAAAGATACCATAAGTGTCTTAACTTTCGTACGACGCTCACTTGAATGCCATAACTTTTTTTTTCGACCACTTAAGTGCATAGCTTCTAAAAAAAAATATTTACTTAAGTGTCATAACTTTCAACCAAAAATTTAGTACCAAAATTTTTTAAAAACGTCTACCCATGTGCCGGAAATTCGATGTGATATAGTATTATGGTAAACCTTTTAAAAAAATTATGGCACTCAAATGATTGATTGAAAAATTATATGGTACTCAAGTAATCGAAAAAAAAGGTTATGGCTCTCAAGCGAGTGTCGTGCATAAATTATGGCATTTAATTGATCAAAAAAATTATGGTACTCAAGTAAACGCCATATGAAAGTTATGGCATTATGTGTCCTTTCCCATGATATATAAGTTATTTTGAGGCATGCTATTTTATAAAATTAGATCAATTATTAGATGGATTTTTCGAGTTGGTTATTAGTTTGGTTATACATCATCGGAAATGGTAGTGGGGGTGAATTATAAAAGATCATATATTAGTATGTTGGATATGATATATGCATATTATGATCGACCTATGTATTGAGATACGATATACGTCCACAGATTGGTTATGCTCTGGGGCTTAATCAAAGCCAATGTGATTTCCGGAGTTCAACTACTAACTGATGTAGTTTCTGGCCCTGTCACCTAGGTGTATGACCGTAGTATTCTGACACAAGCAATTGATTTGATATCTATATATTGAGATGTTGAGATGACATATAATATTTAATATCGCGCTATGTAATTTAAACGGTATGTTTGAACTAGCGTGAATTTTAGTCGACAAATTAAGCATTGCTTTAAAAGAATTCAAAAAAAAATCAAAAGAAAAAAGAAGGGTTAGTTACTTTTTTTTTCTTACCCGATCTGCAACCACATGGTGTTGCTTAAGTCAAGATCAGTTTTATCTAGTTAGTTTTTGAGAGTCAAAGATACGTTCTCCACCCTTTCATCTCTGTTTTTCGGCTGCGAGGATTCGAAGTAACTCGCTCGTGTCTGAAGCTTCGTTGCCGATGCACTCTCCCATCGTGACGATTTTCGGACCATCCCCGCGTGCGAGCTCGACCGGCAACCCTAAACCGAGAACTCTTCCTCGACGAGGTAATGTTGAACCTCCCTGCCTTTGCCCCGCTTTGGTTGAACTAGAGGCCGAGGTTTGTTCTTCCTAGTTCTTGTCTACATCGGGTCTTAATGCGCTGGTGCTGTTGATTTCGAACGATTCCTGATGTCTTCTTCCGAGTATGGAAGTGAGTTCGAGCCCTGAATTGGTTAATATTTTCCTCAATCTGCCACCGCTCATCATGTGTTTGACGTAATGTCTCCGTGAGGTACTATGGGATGATGCCCCTTTTCTGAGATACCCATCACAAGCTTGATAAAATGTTTTTTAGAATTGATTGAAACTGTAGTATTCAAGTGTCGGGAGAATTGACTAACCTGTTCGATGCACTCCAAACACAATTTCCAGGATCACACGTTGAATCACTAGCAAACGATGAACGAATCTACTTCACGTTGGTCCGAATACAATCACAGGGAAAGTATTCTTGTTCCACAGCGTTAATGCCGATTGTCTTCTAAGAATAGATACGGAATCCTTATACGTCGAGAAAGAGAGTTCTGAATTTACTCTTGTGTCAATTGTTCATCTTCATCCTGAGGAAGTTATCGTAACTTCCATTAAGAAACTCTCCTCGCACCTCTTCAAAAGGTGTCTCTCAGACACACCTCTTATTAGAGCAAATGGTGTCCCTTGGACACACACATCATGGGTGGACCGACGAAATATAACATCTCCCACTCGCACATGATGGGCTTGATGATGCTCTATCAAGAACATAAGGCATTCAACATTCATCTACCTTAGAAACAATTCATGGCAAGAAAGCCGTGCGACCAGTGAGTACACCTGCACTTGGGAGCTCTAATTATGCACCTGTTAGGGACAACATAATGGCTACAACCCCAAAAATAAATAAACAATTGATGTCTCACAGTGCCCCAGACATATTTTGTTACATCAGTCCAAGTATACCTATCCCTTAAAGGCTATACTTGACTATTCTCAAGAACAGCATGTATTTACAATTATTTCCGAAGCCATCAAAGGCGAAATAATTGGTCGACCGGTAAACACATGTGATAGATGTAAAACAACAATAGTCTTCCTTCGCACTCATGTCCCTCTCCATTTCAAAACAACTGCTTTCCTAGACACGTCCCATAAAGCCATATCTATTCATAACCGCCGGTAACATGCTAAAGTAGCAACATTGATCTTCTACTTCGAGAACACAGTCAGAAGTAACATAGGGCACGAAGTGAGGTAAATTATAAATTACCTCAAGGACTCACACGATGAGTAAATTGGGATAATTGTACTCATCTCCCTTATTGGTCGAATAAAGCACATGTAGTATGAATTACATGCTATAGTGGATTTCTCTGTCTATAAGAGCGTATGTCATTTATTAATCATATCCACTATACGGATCTTAGCCTAAACATGGTCACGTGCTTCTCACGTACTCATGTTTAGCCCGAGTGCTATATCAGCTCGCTTTCCACAGCGCCTAATTTAGTACTCGCATCCGGCTACCTTCAGGCATACATGATTGTGGGACTATCATGTTCGGTCTTATCATATACGAATAACATACCTCATCTTGATTCCGATCAAGGCGACATTAAATCGTTTTATGTACTAAACTGCTCTTCCAGCATTTATAGTACATATCGTCTCATCTCAACATGCTTACTATAGCGCTTGAGGTGATTGCTCGTGTGAGTGAGCCAATCATTGCTCGGTGACATACCTTTCAACAATATATGTGTGTTTGTGCTAGTCTCATAACATTGTACTAATTGATAAAACATCAATTCGTTAAAAAAACAAGTACAATACATATACACACATAATCCAGTGATCCTCAATAATATTACATATCATAATCACATTCTACGTAATCCTAGAGACATCCTGTGGGTCAAGAACACGTCTCTTGGAATAGCCTTCGTAAATGGATCAGCAACCATCCTATTGGTTGAAATATATTGCAGGACTACTTCCTTCTGCGCTATTATATCTCTGATGAAGTTATTCTTTATGTCAATGTGCTTCGTCCTACCATGGTACTTGGGATCTTTCACATAGGCAATGGCTGCTTGACTATCGCAATATACTGTCACTGGTCTTGGGACATCAGTGACAATGGCTAAATTTTCCAAGAAACGTTTTAGCCATACTGCTTCTTGCACTGCAGCAGAACATGCAATAAATTCTGCCTCCATCGTAGATAAAGCTATGCATGTCTGTTTCTTGCTATTCCAAGAAATTGCCCCATCATTAAGCAAGAATGCATATCCAGATGTCGATTTACGCTCATCTAGGTCTCCTCCCCAATCAGCATCAGAGTATCCTAATAAGCGTAGATCACTCCCTTGATAGCAAAGTCGATAGTCCATAGTGCCTTTCAAGTATCTCAGGATCCTCTTAACTGCTTTCCAGTGTGCTGGACCAGGATTTGATTGATATCGGCTCACTAACCCCACAGCATGACATATGTCGGGTCGAGTACACATCATAGCATACATCAAACTTCCGACAGCACTAGCGTAAGGAACAGTTACCATTTCTTTCTTTTCTTCTGAAGTCTTAGGACACATTTTAGTACTCAGGCCTTCACCTTGCATGACAGGGGTATCAATGGGATTACAGTGCTGCATATTGAAGCGTTCAAGAATCTTCATTATATATGACTCTTGAGACATAGCAAGAAGTTTCTTTGATCGATCTCTTTCAATCTTAACTCCCAATATATATGCAGCTTCTCCCATGTCCTTCATTTCAAAATTAGAAGACAACCATTCTTTTATGGTTAGAACCAAACCCTTGTCATTCCCAGCCAACAGAATATCGTCCACATAAAGAGATAAAATCATAAATTCATCCTCGGACCGTTTGATATACACACAGTGATCCTCTTCGATCATCGTGAACCCAAAAGAAGTTATGGCTCGATGAAAAACGAAAATACCACTGTCTAGACGATTGCTTAAGGCCATAAATTGAGCGATGAAGTTTGCAAACTTTACGCTCTTGACCTTCAGCAATGAAACCTATCGGTTGCTTCATATAGATTTCTTCATCTAGTTCTCCATTGAGAAATGCTGTCTTTTTACATCCATTTGATGTAATTCTAGGTCCAAATGTGCAACAATGGCTAGGATAAGACGTATGGAGGCAAACCTTACAACTGGTGAAAAAAGTTTCCTCATAGTCTACACCCTCCTGTTGAGTATAGCCTTTTGCCACAAGGCGAGCCTTATACTTTTCAATGGATCCATCCGCCCTTCGCTTAATCTTGAAAATCCATTTGTTTCCAATAGCCTTGCGATTGGGTGGCAGATCAACCAAGTCCCAGACGTGGTTTGTCCTCATAGACTCCATTTCGTCTTCCAAAGCTTTTTTCCATTCTTCCTTGTCAGGGGATGAGAGAGCCTCTTGAATTGTCTTAGGCTCCGCATCGTCTTGTGGAGCAATCATAAAAGCTTCCCCTTCAATCTCAAAACGACGACGGGGAATACTTTTACGACTACTTTTACGCAACTGAACTTCTTGTGAATTCAGTTCGTCAGGCGATGCAACACTCCCACTAGGTCTTGTATGTTGAGGTAAATCTGTTTTTCTCTCAATAACATTAGTGGGTGTGTTATCGGGATCTTCCATCTCATGTATTTGGAAGTCCTTATCAATCTCACCTCTACTAGGAAAATCGTTCTCCAAGAACGTGACATCTCGTGACTCCATTTCAGTCACACTTCCATCAATTTGTTCACCTATGAACACGTACCCTTTGGAGTGTTCGGAGTATCTAATAAAGATACACTTCTTCCCTCTAGGGCCTAATTTGCCATATTTATGGGAAGAATCGTGAACATATGCTGCACATCCCCAAGGTCGTAGATTACTTAAGTCTGGTTTCCTACCAGTCCACAATTCATAAGGGGTGGAAGCAACTGACTTAGAGGACACACGATTAAGTATATATGCAGCAGTCAATAACGCATCTCCCCAATATGAGATAGGGAGATTTGCCTGCGCCATCATAGACCTAACCATTTCCAAAAGGGTTCTATTCCTTCTTTCTGCAATCCCATTTTGTTGCGGAGTACCAGGAATAGTCAATTGTCTTACAATTCCCTTTTCATCACAAAGAGCCTTGAATTGCTCAGATAGATACTCACGTCCGCGATCGGTTCTCAATGCCTTTATTGTGTTGTTCAACTGATTCTCTACCAAAGCTATAAACCGCCTAAAGCAATCCAACGCTTCGGACTTATGAGAGATCAGAAAAACATAACCGAAACGCGTGAAGTCATCTATAAAAGTGATGAAATATGAGGCTCCATGCCTCGCCCTCACATTTAAAGGACCACAAATGTCAGAATGTATAAGTTGCAATGGAAGTTCAGCTCTGGTTCCTTTACCAAATGGTTTTCTAGTTATTTTTCCCACTAGACAATGTTCACATACGGGTAGTTCAACATTAGCGAGTGACCCCAAAAGGCCTTCTCTAGCTAATCGTTTCATTCTATGTAACCCAATGCGACCCAGTCTAGCATGCCAAGTACTTGCATCAATCTCCACATTACTAGAAGATGCAATTAAAGAAAAACAACCATCAACATTAACTTTGTACACATCATAGTCAATGTCTAATATCATAAAACCATTCAATACATAACCAGAACCGTAATAAACTGTTCCAAACAAAATGTCAACACAATCACCATGAAAATTAAAAACATAACCTAAGCTAAGAAGAACAACTACAGAGACCAAGTTTCGCCGAATATTTGGAGCATAGAGGACATCATGTAGGAATAGGTTTCGACCACCACGAAAGGTTAATTTACATGTGCCGATACCCTTCACTTCAACTCTTGAGTTATTTTCAACATATATCCATCTTCTTCCAAGCTGTATCCGACGATACTCCACAAATGCTCCTCGATCTCTAGCTACGTGGTCTGTTGCTCCTGAGTCTACAGTCCACATTGGATGAGATTCAGCAAGCATTACAGTGCTAGAAACGAAAGCATTACTCAAAGTAATAGAATAATGTGGTACCTTTTTCGGCTCAGTGCATTCACGAGCGAAGTGGCCCAATTTGCCACAATTGTAGCACATCATCTTGGCCTTGTCCTTCTTCCCGCCACGCTTCTTGCGTTGGAAGGTCTTAGCTCTCTTGGGTGCTTGATCAGTCTCTTTCCTTTTGTTGTTGAATTTACGGTTCCTCTTGCGCTTAAAGCCCGAAGCTTTGCCCGAACCTGATTCAGCAACATAAGCATGGGTAGAGGATTTTGCAGCCTCTAGGCGCTCATCTTCTAATTCCAAATGATGCGCAATATCGTTAAAAGTGACGATATTCTCATTGTGCGTCATATTGATTTTCATATGTTCCCAGCTGTCAGGAAGAGACCTTATAACAGCCTGAACTTTCTGTTCATCAGTTAGGGAATGACCTGCCGACTTCAACTCACGTACCATGTTTGACATCTCCCGAAGATGCTGCCTCATTGTTAAATTTGGGCGCTTCCGGTATGTGTCAAACTTGATGGTGAGCCTCCTCAACTTAGTGGCAGACGTACCCCCAAACTTATCTTTCAATGCAACCCACATTGTTTGAGCTTTGTCATAACTTTCAAACTCACACATGAGATCATCTTGCATACAGCTCAACAACGTGATGCGAGCAATGCTATTTTTCTTTTTCCAAGCTTGAAAAGCTTCTTGATCTCTTTTGTGTTGAGCAGAAGTACCATGCTCAGGTTCATCCATGGTGTGGTTGAGGGTTTCCAAAACCTCTTGTTCCTCAAGGATATATTGAACTTTTCGGTGCCAAATATCATAATTGTCACCGTTCATCTTCTCACCCTTATTGAGGTCAGCTACAATGGTCTTGGATGCCGAAGCCATAATTATTGTCTATTACACATTGACATAATAAAAGCAGAATCAATACTAGCACATTTTCTACATAAACACACATATTTTAATTTGCAGCAAAGACAAACTAAATTAATGATAATTCAACAAAAGACACCAAAACGAAAGTTCACAATGTTCCCAATTAGCTTCGGCGTACGATTGTTCTACTATCATTAACTTGTTTAATTTGTGCAAATTTTAAGTTCTAGGTGAGAATCTCTTCTAATTCTACCAACCTACGAACTCCCACTAGACTAGATAATTCACAAAAAATATCTAATACAATGATCACATCGTTTCTAGTAATCATATAGCATGGCATGATGTAAATCAACAAATAGAACATTCATGCAACAAATATAATCAATAGCGGAATTCATGACGTAAGGATCTCCAGCCATTGTTTTAATATGCTCAAAATTAGGAAATTGCAAGCACATCAAACCATATAAACATGCCATCAATGAACCATTGCTCTACATAATATTTATGTGGTCATTTACATGTAAGCCATCTTCTGTATTTCCAAAACCATAGGGAAATACAAGTAAAAATGCAATAATACCCCAAAAATACACGTATTTAGGGTTCCATATGCATTTTCATACCTTTAAAAGCTTCAAACATATAAAATAAATATACCACAATGTAGATAATTTCAATACGAACACAACGGTACCAACCACAGCCCGATTAGACCTCGCACGCACCCACACGCGCCGCCTAACTGCGAGGCGTGTGTGGCGCACGCGCTTGCCCTATACGGGCTTCTGAGCCGGTCCGACCAGTCCAACCGGTTCGACCGTGACCGGTCCGACCGGCTCGACCGGTGACCGGTCATGGGTCGGGTCATCATCCGGGTCGGGTCTTCGGTAGGGTCGGGTCCTCGGGTCGGTTCGCTGGTCGGGTCAATCGCTTGTTGACGGAGGTCTATCGGTCGGCCGGCGAGATGACGTCAGCTTGTCGTTACCGACAGATTTGCTGACGACATCGATGACGTCAGCACGCTCCGTTTGGCCAACGCGCGCGTGCCATCCACGCGCTGGTTGTGCTAGCACCTTGGGCGCATGGCTTCCACGCGCCGTGGCTTCTGGCCGCGCGTGGCGGCGCGTCCGGTGGTTTCCGGCGGTGTTTGACCCACCGTTCTGCTCGTCTCGACGATTTCCTCAATTTTAGATAATAAAAAATTATTTTCTCGGTAAAAAAGTTTTCGAAAATCATCCGAACAAAACGGTCGCCCGTAACGTTCAAACCCGTTCTTCGTTTCAATTTATGTTCGTCGATTCATCTTGCAATTCCCGAGCAATGAACATGCAGGCAGTATGAAGTTCATCATCATGATCTCCATATCAAACAGCAAGCGTGAAAAAACAACGGGAAAACAAGGCTGAGATCATAACCGAGGCTTTGATACCAATGTAGGATTCGAGTGTCGGGAGAATTGACTAACCTATTCGATGCACTCCAAACACAATTTCCAGGATCACACGTTGAATCACTAGCAAACGATGAACGAATCTACTTCACGTTGGTCCGAATACAATCACAGGGAAAGTATTCTTGTTCCACAGCGTTAATGCCGATTGTCTTCTAAGAATAGATATGGAATCCTTATACGTCGAGAGAGAAAGTTTTGAATTTACTCGTGTCAATTGTTCATCTTCATCCTAAGGAAGTTATCGTAACTTCCATTAAGAAACTCTCATCGCACCTCTTTAAAAGGTGTCTCTCAGACACACCTCTTATTAGAGCAAATGGTGTCCCTTGGACACACACATCATGGGCGGACCGATGAAATATAACAGAAACACTAGCTCCGATTGTTCAATTTGAAAGCATACCGGTGATGCGCGTAAGATGTGGACTGAGTTAGTAGCTATTATACATGATTATGTATGTCTCTTGTACTTTTTTTTTATCACAAAAGAAATATTTCATTACCGACAAGATCTTGAGAAACACATACATGGAGAGTCTAAACAAAGAAGAGCCCATAGGGCTTGAGGAGGGGCAACAAGCCAATTTTGTGGAAGACGACCTAATCTTTGCAATTTCATAGCCCAATCAGCCACTAAGTTGGATTCCCTCGGATAGTGGGATAGATTAATGTGCAGGTGGGCCGAAATAAGCTCCAAACAATCTAAGAAAGCAGCCGCTCTTCCCAGTTAAACTGATCTGCAGACTTACTTATCAGGGCATTAATCAAATCTACACGGTCGGACTCCACACAGAAGCACACGGACTGGTCTTCGCTCGACGCTATGAATTGGAGAGCTTCATGGACATCTAGGGTTTCCACCTGTGCTGCTGACGATGCCTTCATTGATTTTGCGAAACTTGCGACGATGTTGCCCATATGATCTCTATAGATACCAGCGATAGCACCGTCAACGGATCCCTCGACGAAGGACTGATCCACATTGAATTTTAGTGATTTGTCTTCCGGTGGGATCCAAGATAGTGGAATGGTGAAAGATGACTCCTTTTCTATTTTTGACTTTTGGGTGTTCCTTTTCCTAAAGTTAGCTAGCAAAAACTTGGCTGATTCCACTGTTTCTTGGACATCTGGAGGTTTACCACGAAAAACAGAGTTATTGCAAGATTTCCAAATACTCCAGAGGATCGACCCCACCGATGAAAGCTGAGGTATGTCAATTCCTTTCTTTGTGAAATTCAATAACCGAGAGTCGAATCGTGAAATTTCCTACCTGTTAATCTGAATATTAAAGCTAAGGTGTGCCCAAACAAACTGTGTCCATGGACAAAGCAGAAAAATATATTCAACCGTTTCCTCCCCTTGCCAGCATAGAGAACAAAAAAGGTCAGGTATTATCTTTCTCTTCCAGAGATTTTCCTTCGAAGGAATAGCATTAGTGCATAGGGACCAAAGGAAAATTTTAACTTTTGAGTAAATCTGCGTGTCCCATATAGCTCGCCAAAGTGAATTAGGAATTTGGTAGGAAGATGATGCTTGTTCGCTACTCTGATTCTGTTCAATAACATCTCCGAGCATATTATAACCATTCTTAACTGTATAACAACCTAATTTAGTCCCTATCCACACTAACTTATCTTGAGCAATGATGGTTCTGACTTGAATTGTAAGAATCTCCTATACTAGCTGATCATCAAAAAGTTCTTGTAGCTTTTGGAGATTCCATTTTCCTTCTTCAACTGAAATCAATTCTGAAACCCTTACTGGATCGTTCTTATTTGCTGGTCCCCCTATTGGTCGTCTCGTACTTCCTATGCACGTCCCTAAGTGGGTGTTTTCTTTATCTTGGGTCCTACATTCCCACGGTTATTGATGGTGAGCGACGACTGAGAGACAATGGCCGATGGTCCTAACAAGGCAGTGGATGACAGGGGTGGTCAATGGCCGGAGGTGGTTGATGGTAGAAGTCCGATGGCGAAGGCGGTAGACCACGTCTAAAACTTAGCGTTTTGGTAGGTGGATCGTTGATTGGTTTAGTGTTCTAGGTACTATGAGAGGACAAGAGTGTATCAGTGCGGTGAAGAGGACGATGGTGGGATGGCTAAAGTGAACAAAGAGCACTTACAATTTGGTTTTGATTTAGGTAAAGTGAGTTTGGGCTAATTTTGCTTTTAAGGAATCTGGGCTTGATGAATTGGTTTTATTTTGATGGAGAGGGGTTGGGTTTAGCATGGTTTTTGCTAGCAGGGTCACGATTGGAGGTCCCGTGGATAGGTAAACAGCGAGGTAGAGTCACGATTGCTAATATGCTTGGAGGGAGCAGAAGATAGAAGCTAGAGTGAAGTTGATATACTTTGCTAATATCAAAGAATCTACGTCACTATCATACTTGAAGCGTCTTGCGAATAACAATTAACCGAGGAAGCTAGATTTATCAACTGAGTGGATATCAGCAGCGTACTGCTTGTATATAAGCAGTGTACTGTGTGGATATCAGCAACCTGCTGCGTAGGATATAGGCAGTGTTCTAAGTGGATATCAGCAGTGTATACGCTGAATATCAACAATGTATGGGAGAGCTTATTATAATCGGTGACTGTGGATATAAGCGGAACACTTATGCAACTCGACAACTTTGTCACGTGATCTTATTATTTTATCCCGAGATAAAATACCTTACATTTAGCAGCTAGTAATATGGTATGAATTCCTAATATGGAAGGAAATGATTGATTGATAATCATGCCAAAGGCAGAAGATATTCTGCAAGTGGAAGCCACTTTATTTTTGGAAGCCAAATATTTGATTGTATGGCCGACCAAATCTACGAGAACTCATATTGATTGCCTCCAATGGCTAAATTGATCCTATAATCAATTGTCCAATGGATAGATTGGAGATTGATCCTTGTGAAGATTTTCCGACGAGTAGTTTGGATGACGAGGAGTATATAAGAAGATCAAAGACGCCGGGAAGAGTACAAGATATGTTGAGTGCAAAATCCAAATTTAGAGAGTGCTTTATATTCTTACATCTTCTCTTTTGAGCATACTGATATTGTAATCTTTTAAGAGATGTTGGCAGTGTTTTAAATGCGTGCTTAAGTTAAGATAGCTTAAATATAAGTAGCACTTGCTTTGTGAAGAAGCGCTTGGGTATAAGTAGGCACATACAGTTGTAATCGCTCATTGATTGCTAGTGGAATCTAGCCAGTAGGCTGTTAGCATAGAAGAGTGGATGTAGGCTTACATTAAGCCAAGCCAATATAAAGCTCCGTTTGCAAGGTCTTCTATCTCTCTTCTCATATTATTATATATGGATAAGGACACCATAAGTGCCATAACTTTCGTACGGTGCTCACTTGCATACCCTAACTTTTTTTTCCAATCACTTGAGCACCTAACTTCTAGAAAAACGTTCACTTGAGTGCCATAATTTTCAATCGATCACAAGTGTCATGGTGAACATTTTAAAAAGTTATGGCACTTAAGTGATCAATTGAAGAGTTACATGACACTCAAGTGATTGGAATACGTCCAAAAAAAAGTGATCACAAAAAAGTTATAGCACTCAAGTGATAAAAAAAAAAGTTATGGTACTTAAAGTGAGTGTTGTACGAAAGTTGTGGCACTTGTGGTGTCCTTTTTCTCTAATTATCTTGCTTGATAGAATCATACTACACACCTTGATATTACCTAATCCTGTGTATATCACTCATTGCTCATATTCAGGATTACAATTATATCAATCTTGACACATTTTGAATTTTGTATTATTTTGTCAAGTTTCTTGAAATCACGTATTCATCTCCCTCTAGGTGATATTTCTAGCTATCATCAATTGGTATCAAAGCCTAGTGCTCATTATTTTGAAGTGTTATATAACTTCTAAGTTAACGTTATGTTAAGGCTAACATGCTTGGATGATGTATTTTCGAAGGACATAACAACACCAGATCTCCCTACTTCGATCAAAAGATTATGACATCTAAAAGAATAAAATGAAAGCTTTCATCAGATCTACATGCCCTCTAACGTGGGCAGTTGTTCAAAATGGTGTGCGAGTTGCAACACCAAGTAGACTCTCTACTTTTGTGTTGATATGATGGTTTTACTTTTGCAACTCTGTGTCCTTCTGCCTATTTTACTTAGGAGTGTGCAAAACGGACCGTTCAAATTGGGAACCGCTCGGATCGGACCGGACTGGCTGGTTTGGTCCGATTCTCAAGAGTGTCGATCTAGTTCTCGGGTTCCTAAAAATGGAAACGGTGTCCGGGTGGTCCAGTTCCTGATTCCAAAGGGAACCGGACTGACTACATATACCTTTTTTATTTTTTAATTTTTTCAACAGAGTTAGTAAAATGTGAACTAAACCGAAGTGAAGCACGTTTTTTGATTTGTCTTTTTAATTTAAGGATCATTGCATACATATCAATTAATTTAACACGAAAAGATGGCATTAAGTAGTGGGATAAAAAAAAGTGACCGGTTCTATTGGATCGGACCGGAACTGGACCGGACCGATGGTCCGGTCCTGTCCCTGGTTCCTAATTTTAGGAACTAATCCTCCCGGTCCGGTTCCTGATTCCACCTTGGAATCGGACCGGATCGGAAATCGATCACCCCTAATTTTACTTTTGTAAGCACATTCGACGGATGCCCTTTTTTCCTCTTTTTATCCAACGGTTCATCTTTGGATGCGGTACCAGTCTCGTAAAAGAGATAGGAGAATTTCCCATCGAAGATAATGAGATGAAGACCACTTACAAATCAGTGATGACCAATGGGAAAAGTAAAGCCTCGTGTCAAAAAGTTTAGGCCTTTAGGCCCAGAGTCGGTCTTTCATGAAGACTATGATGTCTAAAAATATAGCCACCACATTACCATTCCAATAAATGCGTTCCCCGTCGTTCCAGTTTCGAAATTTTGATAAGAGGAGAAATTTGCTAGAGTAATCATAAAGTAAAGAGTAAACTGAATGGTGAAACTCGCACATAAATGTGTTATTTATGTTACGTAATGTAATCTCGAGCTAGATTAATATATCTTTTGATATACATAGTCATGTAGCGAAGCCTCTGAAGATATGCTCATATTTTTCTAATAGCTTTCTTGTAATCATGGATATCCCCAATTGAAAATATCGATAGAATATTTACCTTGTTGCGTGGCACATGCCGTAATCTTGCGCGAGTTTTACCCGGTTTCACGACTCATCTCATGAATCTCAAGAAAGAAGATTCGGGTGGCTTCACCACTGTCTGGAAACAGTGGAAAGGCTCAAACCGTTCCTATTAGCAAAGAATCACTAATTAGTCTAGCCTGGCGGACCAAATGCTTCTTCTTGAAAATCAATATTCTCGTTACTTTCAATTATGATTGTGATTCGTTGTCCGAAAGAGCGAGGTCCCCCCAATAATGCATGTATGTAATGACAAAATTGTCATAATCGTAGATGATGCGGACAGCATGCCGGCGGAATGAACGTAAGGTGAAGATGATTAACTGGTGCGTGGCAAACTTCTAGGTGGCGCACCGGTTCGGGGAGTCGCGACAATCCTAAAATAACGGCAATAAAAATAACCATGGAGCAGTTGTCCTTGTGTCGATTGCTAACTGTTGATATCGATGATTTTGTCGATCAACTTCAAGGTGCTCATCGATAATTTCACGTCGTGTGTCATCAATGATTTCATTGGCGAGTTGTCGATGCTCTTTAAGTTATTGATAACTCTGTTTAGATGACCAGACTCTATTCTGATCGGCTAAGTCTATCACATGTCGATAATAACAAAAGGTTAATTGTTATATATGCGTGCCGGTTGTTCAAATCTCAGATTATTACAAGGGAGAGCATATGTATCAACTATGTAACGGGATGGGTATTAGTGTCAGGCCATGAAAAGCCTCGAAAAGCAAATAATGTAACCGACAACTGTGGATCGGACACACGAAGAAACAGTGAAATACAGAGCGAAAACACAAAGATCAAATGACGCGTTATACATTGTTACGGATTAACACATATTCTGAATAAGTCAATCAATTTGCATGTGACCTCCACAGTCCCTTATGCTATCAAGAATAAAATATGAAGGAACGTGAACATCAATACTTATCTCGTGACGACCAATTACTGATCAAGCACGCAGTTGAACAAAGCCCGACCATCTGAAACACGCCCACCGTAAAGCAAAGAGAAGGTACATATATAATAATGACCATAGGCACATAGTATTAGCACATAGTATCAAATGTTAAACAGCCATCGGCGGGACGATCATTGAGCAATCCCCTCCTTTTTTTTATGTTTTTTTTTCTTCTCTTTTTGCTCTTTAAACGTTCACGAGCCTCTATTTGTCCAATTGCCTTGTCTATTGACGTTTGGGCCTTTTCTAATTAGTAATTAGATTCTGCCAATTGCCATTCCACTTAGCTGTTTTGTAAGGAGCTCATTGACGCACGGATCAACGTAACAAATCCGAAGCTGTTCAGAGTCCCTAATTCCAGAAGATGACTAGGAGTTTTGTCTCGTGAATTGCAAACACTTCAGAAAGCTTTCGCATTTTTGGTTGCTGGTTACTATATGAATTGGTTGTGACAACTGAGTGGTCCTCCTACTTAGGGTGCGTATGGTAACGTTTCTATTTCTGAGAACAATTTCTTTTCAGAAATAGTTTTTTCTATTTCTATTTCCTGGAAGAGTTTCTGAGCAAAATAATGTGTTTGGTAACTGCACAAAATTTCTATTTCTAGAACAGAAATGTGTTTGGTAACTGCACAAAATTTCTATTCCTGGAATAGAAAAAGAATATAAATGCGTTTGGTAACTGCAGAAAATTTCTATTCCCAATTTTTTGCATTCAAATCTATATCTTTTATTTAACTATAAGTACAAGTTATAAGTGAAAAAAATCAATAAGCATGATTTATTGGTTTGTCTAATCCTTTTTAGGGGTTTAAAACCCCTTTTAATCCCTAAACTAAGGAATCTTCAAAAATACCACTTGGGCACCTCAAAAATTTAAATTTCACTCAAAGTGGGTGGCCATAGGTATTCTAAGCCATTATGTGAATTTTTTTTATATTTTTTTGGGGTAAAATTTATTAAAATTTTTTACTTTCCCTAAATCTGTTTCTTTTTATTTTTCCGAAAATTTTTTATGAAATTTTTTAAATTTTTTCAATTTCGGAATTTTGCAAATATTTAAGGGTTTTCTGAGTTTTTCTGATTTTTATGGATTTTCTGAGAATTTTTCTGATTTATATGAATTTTGGGAATTTTTTAATTTTCTAATTTTCTAATTTTTATGGGATTTTTCTGAAATTTTTCTAATTTTTATGAATTTTCGGAATTTTTAAATTTATTCTAAGCCATTATGTGAATTTTTTATTTTTGATTTTTTTTGGGGAAAATTTTATTAAAACTTTTTACTTTCCCGAAATTTGTCTCTTTTTATTTTCTTGAAAGCTTTTTATGAATTTTTTTTAATTTTTTCAATTTCGGAATTTTGCAAATTTTTATGGGTTTCTGAGTTTTTCTGATTTTTATGGATTTTCTGAGAATTTTTCTGATTTTTATGAATTTTTTGAATTTTTTTATTTTTTATAATTTAATTAATTTTTTATAATTTTTTTATTATTTCCGCCGAGAATGGACAGGACTGGTGCTTTGAGACGGTTTGCAGACGACGGAGGATGGAGGAGGAGCTGAGGTCGCGGCTTGAGGACCGGACCTTTCTATTTCTATTTCTATTTCTATTTCTAGGAACAAAGAAGTAGATTTTTTCTACTTCTTATTTCTGCTCCAAATCTATTTCTTGGCCACTTTTCTATTTTAGGAAATAGAAAAATAAAATGCGTTACCAAATGGATTTCTGTTCTTTTTTTGTTCCAGGGAACAGAAGAACAGAAAAATAGAGAAACAGAAGCGTTACCAAACGCGCCCTTAGTCACAAGCCGAATCGCATTCTTAGTTCATAAGATCAACCAAAACTGAGTAGACATTCCCATCTCAGTTTGTTGGCAAAATGATTGGAATATGTGTCGGTTCTCATTTCATGCATTGGAATACATTCGTGCGACTTTAAGATCAAGGGATGTGTTCATTTCCGTAATCTTTCAATTAGCATATCAAGAAAAAGTGACTAGAGATAGGCCGTAGTCATCGCCTAAGTACATAGAAGCCTGCAATAAAATGCTTCCCTTTGAACAATTAGATCATATCGGGATAAGCATTTGTAGCAAAACGTGGCTCAGATTATAATTTGCCCTTATCAGCTTAAATGCTGTCAGAAGCCAGCTTCCATAACTGATACAACCCAATAACCGAAGGATAACAGAAGAAACAAGCCCCAATAGCTGCTTCAAAGAAAATAATTACCGACTACAACTGTTTTAAAAGGAGATGTTACCGTCGAAGTTAAACATTAAGCATCCATAGCAGTCAGACACACATCAAAATTATTCAAATACAGTCGGATATCTGTTCACCATTTGGCGAGTCATTGTGGTTGTATTCTTCCAGCTTACGGTCACGATGCTTCTGTAAAGCCTCATTTATGTTCTTGAGAGCCTTATCATACGATACAAAACCCATGAACCAGAAATCATAACCATCCCTCGTAACAACCTGGATGTACTTTTCAGAAGGATCCAACATTTTTGAACCAGGAGTAACAAAGCTCAAGTTATCGAGCAGCATATCCACCTGGACAGTCAATCAGGATGAAAGCACTTTAAAAACTGATGGTTGGAGAGTGAAGCACAGTGGAGCTTGACAAACTTTTTCGAAGGTACGATTCACTACATTAAGATGCTTTACGTTTAGATGAAAAAACAAAATGGTGAAAAAAAACGATCCAAGGCTCAGTGAAGTAGTACGGTCGATGAGTAAAATGAAGGTCCTTTCCGGTGTAGCTTTTCCCAAATTTAAACGATAAAATCAGCGGGCTAGGTCAATCCTAGAGTAAATGCAGTTTTAGGAAGATTGGAAAAGGTTACCTTGTAGTACATCCACTCTTGCTTCCCTGAGGGAGCGTGTTGGCGAGGGTTATCACCACCGAAGACCAGTCTCTTGTTTGACAAATACAGCGTCCCAATGACGAGCCCTGAGGGCCTGGATAGATAGCAGGCATATGCCTTCAGGATTTCCTCTTGGGGCAGAATCTCAAATGTATGTTCAAATACCTTATCCCGTCCCCCCTCTTTGAGCATTTTTGTCCCCTGAGCAAGTCTAGCTATTGCTGCGTCTCTTATGCTAGGGCTAGTTCTAACTGTTTCAAAAACAAACGTTGCACAATTTCCAATTAGTTGACGTCAGGCAAGAATAGAGTGCGCTTTGTCTCTCATGAAGAAACTAACAAACGGACTACAAGCCAAAGCCAAGCTTATCCAGTACAAGACAAAGCCATTTTTTCTTGTTGGGGCAAGAGATGATCATTTATCTTGTTGGGAGTGTGCAACAAAAACTCGATACCTTCATCTAAAGAGATCGCCAAGAGAGAACCAAAGTCCGAGCTCGTCAATATATCATGTTAGACTCACTTTCACTCAAAAACTTAAGTCAAAGAGTTATGGGCCAATTTAGATATATTAACTACTCCACACAACACCAATTCTCACGTGTATCTCAACATATCTAGTACAACGTTCAGTCAACATATCTTGATTGTGGGACTTTTCTAACGTAACTCACACTTATATCTCAACATATCTAGTCCAACGTTCAGCCACACAAAGAGCTCAAGGGTCCTAATTGCCTTAGGAAATGATGGAAAACAGATCATGTCCTGCACAGAAGTGCCATGTTATGTATTTGGCAATATTGTTATAGATTGGAATTGACATAGATCGCCAAAAGAGTGAGCACCAACATTTTTCTTTCTTAAATTGAGCTGCTGAGCCAATCAGCTAATTCATAAGTTCAATTCCTACCGGATGCACACCAATGGGACCCTACAATAAGAATATTACAAAAATAGCACCACACATCAAAGTTGAAGCGCCTTTAGATAAATAATCACGGGACGTGATCCACTCAACTGCCAATTGGCGGATTGCATACACAGATTATGAAGCATGTATCTTCGATCCTAGTGGTAATTGCAAAAGAAGCCAATGACTGATCATTTGAACTGATTTCCAAAACCACAGGACTGCAATGTTATGAGAGGCCACCGTGCTGGACAAATGACGTCAATGAAGAACAAGGTGCCAAAATCCTTGGATTGGATATTTACATGGATAGTATTCATATATATTGCAGAAACAAATAAGAAATATATGAAAGAAGTCAATCAATTAAATACGTCTCCAGGAATAAATCCGGAATGTTTCTATCTGATTATACGGACACGTTTAGCGAGAAAAAAACGTAGAAGAAACTCACGGTGATGCCAGAAATTGCCCGCGAGCTCCTCTGCTTTCTGCTTAGCATCGTCGAACCTTTTCCCACACCGGTTCAACGTTGTGCACATATTGTTTACCGAATCTGCAACCACCAGCAAAGCATCAACATCATTCTTAAGCCTAACCATCAACCATAACAGAACTTCAAACGCAAAATATGCCTCGATAGACTCACTCCAGCCAGGAACCATTTGTAGGTACGGGTTGTCGCCCTCGCTTTTGTTGTGCTTGACCATATCAGAGACCGAGCGGCTCACAGCGGCATTCAAGTGGTTGGATTGAAAGCTCGCGGGACGAGCCTCATTGGCGATCCAAGTGGCTGTGTGCTGGTTCGTGGGATGCGCAGGCTGCTCCACCGGCATTCCCACTACGCACTTGTCGCACTGCGTTGCCGCCGACTTGCCTCCGCCACTCATCGCCTTCTTCTTCTGTCTTCGTCTTCTTCTCTCACGCAAGTGTGGATTGGTACTGCGGTTCGTAAAACTATCACACAAATAAAAAGACGGTGGAACTGGAAAAGAGGAGAGATCTGAATACCATAAAGAGCTAACGAGAAACGACAAACATTGACTGTGTTTGACTGTGTTTGGCTTGCACATGGATGCCCACGTGGGAGAAGCATATTCATAATTTATTGCTGAGTAAATCTAGAGGCTCGCTTCCGACACTGTTGAAAGAGCCTTAGCGAATGGACGCCAATCGAGCAGTTTTTACGCAATTATAAACATAGTCAAGTCAAAAAGTTTGGTTATGTTATTTATTTAAAAGCAGCTTAAACTAAAACTATTTATAGTGGGTTTTGCATTTTTTCTACAGGAGTTGGTTTTGCATATTTACATTTTTAAAAGAGGGGGACTCCATAATAAAACTGTTATCTCAGAGATGGATTGCATCTTGATGTTTCCAAATGATTCCTAACATTGGGGTACATTTTTTTATTAAATTGGTGATGACGGGACAGTTGGCTTCCTATCTTTTATGGGTCTCTAATTGACATCACAAGCGCCACAATAATATACGTGCACACTTCAAATATATTTAAGAGTTGGAGTTCTAATTAGTGCACCTTTTGTATCATTTATGTGAAAAAAGGCTTTAGAAAGAGATTTGTGTCAAAAGGATTGCCCGCGCCGCTTACTGGCGGAGAGATTTGTTGGTAAAAAAAGGAAACCTTATAAGATAATGTTTTTTTTTTTGCTGGACTTAATGAGATAATTGTTAGATACGTGTGCTAGTTGTCCGAATTTTGGACCATTCAAGGGCAGAGCATATGTATCAACTGCGTGATAATTCTGACCAAAACAAAAGAACTGCGTGATAAAACGGATGGGTATGAGTGTCAACCCATGAAAAGCAAAAAAGGAAAATCAACCTTGTATTTCCTCCTAAAGTAAAGGGCTAATTACACAAATGGTCCTTGAATTTTAGCTCATTATATAATGTGGTCCATAAACTTTTTATTTTTTCAATGTTGTTCATGAACTTTAGCTCAATGTGCTATACGGTCCTTGAACTTTTAGTTTATTTAATGCGGTCTATGGACTTTTGATACATGTTTAATGTAGCCTCTAAACTTCAATGACCTTGGCCGAGCTTAGGAACCTATTTTTAAACCAAAAATAATTTTTTAGAATTCTTATGAATTTTTTCTTAATTTCTTTAAGCCAAAACAAGAGAGAAAATCAAGAAAAATAGCAAATGGAATCCAAAAATTCCATAAAAATAGCCATTAGTCTTCTTTTAAATTCAATTTCATCAATAAAGCATCAATTTTATAAAATTTCAATTGAGAATGTGTGTTTCCAAAATTGGGTAAAATCAAACCCAAGTTGAATAAAAAATTCAATTAAACCATTTTTAGTCATTTCTAGGCCATAATGTCTTCACAACAAATGATTCTGGAACCTTAAATTATATATTAGTTAGTCCAATTGCACAATTTGTCAAAGGAATTAAAAAGCCCAAAAAATCAATTAAAAATTAGGGATTTTAAGCCTAAATTGAGAATCTTGGTCAATTTGAAATTGTCGAATCAAGAGAGCACCATTCTTGGGGTTAATCAATCATGGGCAATCCAATTTTAGCATCAATTTACCCAATCAGGTCATCTAGATATAGAATTGAACAAAAAACCTAGTAATCCAAATTTAAAATTTGGGAATTTTGGGTTTAATTGTGATAAAAATTAGGAAAAATCTCATATTTGGATGCAAAATGTGCTGAGAAATCCAATTTTGGGGTTAAAATTGAAAAATAGGTTTAAAAAAGGGTCGAATTCGCGAATTTAGACCAACCCGGGTCTGCCGGGTCGATCTCCTTCTTTACCCGACTCACCCAGAAAGCACAAAACCAAGAAAATATCTTCTCGGCCCACCTCTTCACCGCCTTACTGGGATCAAATGAGCACGTGAAAATCAATTTTACCAGCTGGAGAATCTCCAGCTGACATCGGAGAATCGTTATAACCGATTTGGAGGTTGGTGGTAACAATTTTTGGGCGGGAAATTGGGCTAGAAAAGAGAGAAAAAAGGTTATCCTGCGCATAGAAGGTGCTAGAGAGAGAGAGAGAGAGAGAGAGAGAGAGAGAGAGAGAGAGAGAGAGAGAGAGAGAGAGAGAGAGAGAGAGAAAACCAGAGCAAGGAAGAGAGAGATTGAGCGTAAGTGTGAGTAGAGACTCCCAGGGCCGAGCGATTGGTGCTTTTCCGACTAGAAAAGCATCAACAAATCGGTCCAGACTGGAGTTTCCTTACCAGAGAACCTGCAACAAGGTTGATCGTCAAGGCCTGAAGACGAGTCTCGGCCAAGCAATCCAGGACTTTTCTGACGAAGCGACAATCGTGAACTTGAAGAACATACATCAAGGAATCATTCTACGGTCGCAGTTTGGTCCGAAATTTCAAAATCGATCATCAACGAGACAGGTAAAGTTGGCTTATGATCACGATTTCATAAAATTCTAGAACATGTGTTTGAGCTTAATCTTGTTTGATCATGTGATTTCATTCATGATTATGAGTTTATTGATGTTCAAAACGTGTTTCTGATAATGATATTGGTTGTTTGTTGCATTTTGGGCCATTAAATCTGCATAAACCACCTCGGTCACTATTGTTGAACCTTGCCGGAGCTTCTCTAATCTCGCCGGAACGCCTCCTGTGGCCATAAGTCACTCAAGTTAGTTAATTCTCACATTGTTTGATGATTTTATATTGATTTGGACCGACGTAGACGGCTATGGCAGACTAGGGAAGAATCTGGAAATCACTGAAGTTTGTTTGGATTAGTTTTAGGTTAGGGTTTTAAGTTTGAATCTCGCCGGCCGGCGATAGTCCGGCAGCCAATTGGTTCATACAGGTGGATAATGGATGATCTGAACTTTGTCCAGAACTAATCAAAGAGAACAAAAGGTCACTGGAAGCTCAAACCGGCGGCCTCGAGAATATTAATGCATGATTTGTGCTCATTAGGTGTTCGGGGAAATGCCCCAATGAAAAACGGCGAAAACAGCGCCGTTTTGGCGTTGTGCTCGCCGGAGCACCGGTGATGGCCGGTTCTGCTTGGCTGGATTGGTTTGAAGTAGCCGATCCGGTTCGCTTTCTTGGTGGGAAAATTTTAAAATAAATATATAAACAAAAATATAAAAAATATATAAATCAATAAAAAAAATAAAAAAATTCTAAAAAAATCAGAAAACCAAAAACATAAAAAAATTAGAAAAATCGGGAAATTTTTTTAAAAAAATTCGAAAATTCAATACAAATTTTAGAAAATCCAAAAATTTCAGAAATTCAGAAAATTCAAAGAAAAAATTGAAAAATTTCTAAAAATTCCATAAAAATCTAAAAATTCAAAAAAATCAAATTAAAAAATGTGAAAAATTCATAAAAATACAAACAAAATTGAAAAATCTCAAAATCCCATAAAAATTTCAAAAATTTCAAAGAAATTTTTAGAAAATCAAGAAAATCAGTTCTCGGGAAAAGAAATTCTCAAAAAATTTTACGAAAAAAAATAAAAAAATTCAAAAATTCACAAAATGATTCATAAAGACTGTGGCCAATCTTTGCAAGCGAAATTAGAATATTTTGAAGTGCCAAAATGGCATTTTTAGGAAATCCTTAGTTTAGGGATTAAAAGGGGTTTCAACCCCTAAAAAACCCTAAAACCCTAAAACAACATAAATCATAGAATGAACAAGCTTTTAGGGCTTTACTAGGGTTTGGGTGTTTTGGATTGGCTTCCTTTTAGAGACAATTTAGGATTGCTTTGCTTCATTGCAATTGATTATGGTGTTAATGATGATTGATTGATTTTCCACAATTAGAATGGTTAGAATCAGTGGATAGACCTTGGAAACTTGTGTGGCACGTTAGACACATCGTATTGTTTTAGGTACCACAAGGGCGTTAGAGATCTCAATTCGGGATCATTAGCGTAACCAAGTCCCATTACTCAGAATCTCTAATTCGCAGAATCGTGGTATTTCTTCCGTACCTCAATTAGGTTCCAGTCAACCTACCAATAATGACTAGTGGCAACTCCAAATCGAAAATTTAGATTGAATAGAAATATAAAAATTACAACTCGCCGTCACGTAAGGTATGGTCTGGGAGAGGCTCCCGTTTGTTTAATAATGGGATGTCTGTGGGACGTTTGGGTGAAATATCCATATCGAACCCTAGGAGCTCATTCGGGGACAGTTTCCCCATTCGTGACAAATGGAAGTACCTCCTTAGCGTGCCAAAAGCACAGCGCGACACCCGGAGACTTGATTACGTTATCTAATCCCCAAAATTAGTGCATTCTCCCTTTTTATCCGAAAAAATTTCATGCAATTTTTTTGATTTTCTTAATCCCAAAGATCAATTCATACAACAAACAGATATAAATAATTGTGGACACCTAAATTTTATTTAATGTTTTTTTGCATAAAAATTAAATGTCAACCCCAACCCCTAAACAAAAATATCATTAAGATTAATTTGCATTTGCATTATAAAACAAATTCACAATAGGTCCACGTAAATTGCATTTTAATGTGTCCGATCATAAATGCTGCATGGATTTAAGTAGGTAGGCTATAAACTTGATTAAATTTTCTGGACTAAGTCCACATGAGCACAAAATTATGTAATTTTAGTCCTTTCGTAGATCCAAGTTATTTATGCTTTCCTCGCTTGACGTATACTCATTGATACTTGCTGTGTCTGTTCATCCTCAGCAACAGTGGTTACGGATTGTTGACTTTCTTTAAACCAAACATGAATAAACTCTTTCACTTCCTGCGAAATCTTGTTAAATACTCAGTATGTCTTACTTGAAGTCAAATAGCCAAGAAAAATACCTTCAACCGACTATGGATAAAATTTACTAGTGTCGTCGTTGGGGTTCTTGAGAATGAAGCACTTGTAATCAAATACATGAAAATGAGAGGCATTTGGTTTTATGTTCTTGAAGAGCTCACATGGAAATTTCTCCAAGAATGGCCTTAGAAAAACCCGATT